CATAGGAGTAGAGCTGTTATGCACAAAGCTATCCTCTTCACAATAGGGGAACTCAGAGCTGGAGAGTGGGCAGTAAGAGAAAGCTAGCCCTGCTAGTATGGAGTTTTAGTCTTCAGGACATCTGGGGACATCACGGATTTCACTTGGAGAGTTTTCTAATCAAAGGGCCCATTACAGAGCAGAGGACCCACATAGATCAAAGCCAAGAAAACATGAACTTCCCAGTAAGAAAATTTATTGTAATATAAAAATGTTTTCCAGTCAATCAATTCTCTTTGGTGGAGAGTTACAAATGGGTCTTATATATTAACTAGAGTTCACTGGGCAGTGGTTTCTGACTGGTGCTCAGATTTTAGTCACCAAAGTATACAACCAAACCTTTCCATCATCACTTCTGTTGGGAACCCATCCTCCAAATCAATACAAACCAGGGGCTGGGTGAGTTACACATTACAGCAGATTCAGCATAAAGGCTCTCTATCAATTTCTCCTGTTGTAGTCAAGTAATAACATTTACATTAACCCCAGAGAAAGAAAAAAACTGCATTGGTACCTGTCCATTGTATTGAGAATTTGCGTTAACTGGCCTCTTTGGAAATTAAACACTGACATGCAATAAAGAACCCATGCTAAGCAGAGCAGCAACCAAAGAGGAAATGGAAGGGCCCGATCAAATCAAAATAATTACACTAGCAGATCTCTCAATTTTTAGGGAAAGTGAACTGAAAACCAGGAAAAATGCAGTCGTGATTTTCTGGGGGAGAATTAAGATATAATCAACATGTCACCAAAAAAAAAAAAAAAATCACTGAGAAACATTTTAAACCATCTAATAAAACAGACTGCTTGCTGGTCAACAGTATTTCTTGCCATTTCGTAGGAATTAGGTGGGAGTCAATAGAAACAATTTAAAATCTCAGGCAGGAGGGGGAGGGTTTTCCCACGTCCCCCTGAAGCACATACCAAATACATTTGTGCACACCAACAAATCAAGGAAGTCTAATCCTACCAATGGAAAGATTCAACTGCCTCACATTGTTGCATGCAGCCAATCACCTGCAAAACAGTTTACCTCTCATCTGCTGAATTGTGTTAACCATAAAGTACAAACCCCATTTCTATTATACTTAAAAAGCCACTTAAACAGTTCTATGGTGGATGGTGGCTGCCATTGGATGGGAAGGACTTGCCCTAAAAGGTTTGCCACAGTTTGTCAGTTCTGCAGTGCTGACTTGCATCTGTAAAGTCTCTTCTACAAGACATCTCCAGCTCACCCCACCTGGTGCCAGCATAGAGAAGAAAAGCCACAAGGAGATCTCCTGCATATGTTCAGTCTCCAGATTCTGGCTTTGCTTTCAGTCCCGATATCGGTTGAAATGTTCACAATTTTGCCATGGTGCTGGTGAATTTCCCTCTGGGTGTGGGGGCACTCTATGCAAAAGTCCATGATATGTTCCTCCTTGGTAGAGAGGCCCCATTCAACTCATATCCCTTGCAAGGTGGAGCAATGTCTGGGGCTCTGGTCTCACTGCCTCCTCGTGGGGCTCTCCAGAAAGTGGCTACTCCGTGGATCAGGCCCCTTAGCAGTCCAGTCGCAGGGGGGTGAGGTTGCCGCGCTGCTCCCCACACTGGCGATGGGCCAAGTCTTGAGCTAGTTTGGAGGGGCTGCTGCCCAGCACCAAAGGGGGCCTGATCTCATCACAGATGTACTGGGGGGAGGGCTGTGCCACTGAGACCTTCATTAACTCCCGGAAGGGGGGGCTGGCCCATAGTCTGCATTACAGGCTCAGCGAACTGGGAGGGGGCCGTGATTGGAAAGGGGTGAGCCGCTGGCGCCTGTTGGGGGCCCTCGGGGGCGCTTCAGGGAAAGGAGCCGGGCGGGCGGGGCCCTCAGGGCCGGTCCGGGGGAGGAGGCCGGGCGGG